TTAGAGGTTGGGAGAGCAGTGACAAGTAGATCCCTGAGACTCAACGAATTCTAGACTCAGTGAGAGACCTTGCCTCAAAAGATAAAATGGTGGGTCATGGTGGTATGTGCCTATAATCCCAGGAATCTGCTTCCAAGGCTTCTAGAGGAAACTATTGTTGAGTCCTCTCCCTTTAACACTGTAATTTTGCTTTTTGTAAAAATAGTAAAACATAGGCCGGGCATTGGTGGCGCATGCCTTTAATCCCAGCACTCGGGAGGCAGAGGCAGGCGGATCTCTGTGAGTTCGAGGCCAGCCTGGTCTACAGAGTGAGTTCCAGGACAGCCTCCAAAGCCACAGAGAAACCCTGTCTTAAAAACCAAAAAAAAAAAAAAAAAGTAAAACATAGAACCAAACTTCATGACACTCATCTTAGACCTTGTGCTCTGTCTCATTTCCAGAGTGTCAGGGTTATAGGCTTGCTTCGTCATGCCTAGCTGTCTGAAATGTTAAAGCTAGGTGAGGTACCATTCCGGTAGTCCTAATACTTGAGTGGCTGAGGCAGGAGATTACCACTAGTTAAAAGCTATCCTGAGTGAATTGATGCTAGCTGGGAGACATGGCAAGATCCTGTCTTTTTAAAAATGAGAGTGCAAATCTTTCCCTCTCCATTAATTATTAATCTCCTTTAAAGTGCAACGTAAGAATATATAGCTGTAGGTGTTTTGGCAACATTCCTTTAGCAAATGAGGTGTTCATAAGAATGTTCCCTTTAGAAGTTATTAAGACATAATATCAACATTAAATTCCAAGGAAGCAGTTGTATGTAAAAGACAGTGCATACCTTTAATTTCTGTACTTGGGATGCAGAGGAAGGTAAACCTCTTGAGTTTGAGGGCAACAACCTGGTCTACGGAGCGGAGCGAGTTCCAGGACAGCCAGGGCTACACAGAGAAACACTGTCACACTGTCTTGAAAAACAAACAAGACAGTGTTGTCCAAAGTCAGCTTTCTGGTGGTTATGGCTGATTCAGGAGTAAAACTCAGCCAGGAACGGTGGCTCACACCTGTAATCATGCTTGGGAGGCTGAAGCAGGAAGATTGTTACAAGTTTAAGGCCAGCCTGAGCTACATAGTTCTAAGTCAGTATAGACTACAGAAGGAGAGACCTTGTATCAAAAACTTACAGAAAAAAAAGGGCAAAGTCCATAGAAATGAGTGGTTGGAATGAGCTCAGAAGAGTCCACAGAATGTTTCCCAGCCAAATTCTGTGTGTATGTGTGCCTGGTCATGTGGAGGCAGGAGGTTAATGTTGGGTGACTTCCTTAATTTCCCTTTCCTTATTATTATTTCTTATTTATTTGTGTTTGCTTGTATATATACACCACAGGATTATTTGGAGGTCAGAAGACAATTTGCAGTAACCAGTTCTCTTCATCCACTATGTATATGGGTCCTGAAGATTGAACTCAGGTTGTCAGGTTTAGCGACTGTCTCACTGGTAGGGGACATATGGTTTGGCTAGGCTGGCTGGCCAGCAAGTCCCAGGTATTCTGTGCCCACTTCTTGGCTGGGAATGACGTGCCACCACACCTAGCATTTTACGTAAGTTCTGGGGCTTGAACGTGTATCTCCCTGCTTACATAGCAAACACTTTACCAAATCAGTCATCTCATCCCTTCAGCCAGGTTTTGATAGGGACAATTAAAGAGAAAGCCACCAAATCTGGAGTTAACTTGAAGAAACTTAGTGTGTTGGCTGGGTGTAGTTTTACTGAAATATGACATCTGAGAATATCTGAAGGCAAAGGATTGACAACTAAAGCAATAACAGTTGTGGTTCATGTGAACAGAAGCAGAAGTCCTTAACCACGTGTTCACTCTTGCCACCTCTGATGCCATTAATCTATCAAAGGTTATCGTGGATGTCATAAGTCTCCTGACTCTAAAATTCCACCCATATCCTGACTACCATTAAATTTATCTCTAGCAAGTTCATACATCTAATTGTTTATCTGTCACCTGTACGTAGATGGCATAAAGGGCAATATGAACCTGTGTCCAAATCTGAGTTTCTGATCATATCCTCCCTAACTCAGAAAACACAACTTCTCTTCCCAGCTACTCAAGTCAGAGTTCTCAGTGTTGCATCATTTCTTTCTGTCATACTTTATGTTCCATCTGGGGCAAGTTCTGGGAGCTGCACCTTCCAAATACCCTGGGTCTAGCATTTCTCAGCACCTAGTCAACATTGAGACTAGAATGCCTTTTTATGTATTTATTTATTTGTATTATAATTACTGTTGGTTTTTCAAGACAAGGTTTCTCTATGTAAGTGTTCTTGCTGTCCTGGAACTCACTTTTGTAGACCAGGCTGGCCTCAGACTCACAGAGAGTCTCCTGCCTCTGCATCCATAGTCCTGGGGTTAAAGGCATGCACTCCCCCCCCCCCCACACGTAGGATGCCTTTGTAAACATTAAAATAAAAATATTTGGCCGGGCGGTGGTGGCGCACGCCTTTAATCCCAGCACTCGGGAGGCAGAGGCAGGCGGATCTCTGTGAGTTCAAGGCCGGGCTGGACCAATAGCCTCCAAAACAATACAGAGAAACCCTGTCTCGTAAAAATAAAAAATAAAATAAAAAAAAAGTAAGAGTGTGTCTCAGTGTGTCTGTGTGCCAGTCAGAGGCCTCCTTGTGGGGGTTGGTTTTCTCCATCATAGTAACTCCTGAGAATTGAACTCAGGTTATCAGGCTTGGTGACAAAGGCCTTTGCCCCCTGAGCTATCTCACTGGCCCTAATTTTTTTTCCTTGAGACAGCGTTTCTCAGCCCTAGCTGTCCTGAGACTCTCTTGTAGAACAGGCTGAACTCACAGAGATCCACCTGTCTCTCCTTCCCAAGTGCTGGAATTAAAGGTGTTCCCCACCACTCCCTGGCTTCCTAAATGTTTTTTAAATTATTATTGTATATAGACGTGCATACTTGGTTTAGGCAGGGAAGGTGGTGGATGACCATGGCACACCTGTGAAGTCAAAGGACAAGGTTGTGAGGTCACTTCTCTCCTTCCTCTCTTCCGTGAGTTCTGGGGGTTGAACTCAGTTACCCACAACATGCAATAAACATGAATGTGCAGGCTTGGAGTGGTTCAGCTGGGTCAAATGGGAGATGTGTTTCTAGTTGATTATTTTTGTTGTTGTTTTGACACAGGGTCTCATTTTGTAGCCCAGGCTGTCCTAGGACTCATTGTGTAGCTCAGGTTAGCCTCACACTCATGATAATCCTTCTGCTTCAGCCTCCAGGGTGCTGGAATTACAGACTTGCACCCCAGCCTCAGCTCCTTTTGCTGAATGAGTCTTAGCCCCACTGCCAGCCCACTGAAGCAAAATCTGCACTTTGACAAGTCCTCACTAGGTGACTTCATTTTACCAAGTGCTGACCTGGGATGCCCCACCCCCAGTCTTCTGTGTATCTGAGTAGGCTTGTCCAATCCTGAAGGTAATGTACTTGGCCATTAAAAAAATTATATTTATTTTTTTGGTTATAACTAGAATGGAAGTTCCACGAAGGGCAGTGCTGACTGTTGGATGCTGTACCTCAGTGTCTGTAATATTCAAAAAGTATTTGATGAATGAAGAGAACATATGCATGGAATAGAACTTGCTTTGTGGTTTGAAATGTGTAAGTCTGTGTAATAAAACTCCTCTGTAGCTCTCAGTTCTAAGATTGGGGTGATCATTGTTTTGTTCTCTTGCTTGGGCATGAATTCCTTTAAACCAGTGTACCAGCGTGACTGGACCTTTCATTCTTATTTTGAGACGTTTGTCTTTACAGCAAAGTTGAGGTTATGTTCCAGTGTACCTATAAACTCTACAGTTATTTCCCTTTTTATATTTAGAAAGCACTGTCATTCTGAGTTAAAGCTCAAGTTCTTTGGGTTTTTATCCAGTTATTGTTGGTCTGCTTGTTTATCTTATTAAATCAGATTTTAGTAATGAGTTTCTTAACAGTAAGAGGATTCTAGGGTGGGAAATAGAGGTGGGAAAGATAATTAAAGGGAGTGAACAGAATGAGTTTTTTTTGTTGTTGTTGTTTTGTTTTTTTTTTTTGGTTTTTCGAGACAGGGTTTCTCTGTGGCTTTGGAGGCTGTCCTGGAACTCACTTGGTAGTCCAGGCTGGTCTCGAACTCACAGAGATCCGCCTGCCTCTGCCTCCCGAATGCTGGGATTAAAGGCAGAATGAGTTTTTATACATGTATAAGACTGTCAAAGAACAAACTGAAAAGCTACTTAAAAAGATTCTGAAAATGTGAAGTCACATGCAAATTTTAAAGTTAAACTTTGAGTAAAAGAGTGGAATGTGAAGTATCAGCTTTATTTTTTACTTGGGAAGTAGGATTCTAGAAGAGACCTATGGTTTCTGGGATTGCTCTGCCTTCAAAGATCTGTTCCCAGGGTATCTGCTCCTCATGTTTATATTGGTGAAATTCCAGTAAGCAACTTCTCCATCTGTCAATTTTGAGTACAGCTATGGAACGGACCACATCAGTTTTCATCTAGGGGTGCTTAGCAGTGACTGAAGGTGTTGGTTGATGATCACAGCTGAGAGTGGGGAATGGAATGGGTGGAGGCCAGGGACCCTGCTAAACATTTAATGCAAGAACAGCCCTCACCTCACAGAATCACCTGCTTGGAAAGGCCTGAGAAGATGATTGAATGGAGAGAGGCTTTCTCTTCAGTATTGTCAGTAAAGAAATCTTTGCCTACCTCAGAAAAAGAGAGTCTTTAGATGGAGATACAGAGATTTTAGGGTTATTTTTTATTAAACTGCCATTTTAAATCAGACACAGTATAGGAATTTAATGATTGGCCTTACCCTGTGCATAAATCACTCTTGGGACAAAAGACGTTTAAGCACTTTGTCAACATAGTTGATTTTGGAATTGGATAACATTCTCAAATAATTTTACATTTTAAAAATTAGGGAATCTCAAATATAGGGTTACTGGTTTTCCTTATTTTACAGATGGGGTCGAGGATTTGGTCTTTTGGGTTCCATTTTTGGAAAAGATGGTGTATTAAACCAGCCAAACAGTGTCTTTGGACTTATATTTTATATACTACAGTTATTACTTGGTAAGTATTTATACAGAGATACAGAAATAAGCTTGTTATACCCATGCAGTGCTTGTGTCTTCGCCCTAAAGTGTATCTGCATAGTAAAAAGCACACGCTGATTATAGAGGACCACTAGGGTGCTGCATAGTTTTGTATTGTGAAATGTGATTCATTGCTTTTTATGATGTGTTGACCTTGGTATCAGTGGACATTTAGTTATGACTATCAGTATGTCATGATGTCCAGAAACCTAGCCCCATTCATGGAAATTATTACTCCAGTCTTCCTTGTAAGCTTGTTTTTAAAAATTGTATTGTAGACTCTAGCTATTTTTAAATACCACATATTAAACAGTAGCAATAAGCTGCCATAATTCCATCACATTTCTGTATCTACTGTTTCCCTATCTTGTGGGTCTTTTGCTTGCCCCCTGTGGTGCTGGGATCAAACCCAGAGCTGTATAACTGAGCTACATCCCCAGCCCTGCCTTTCGCTTTTTAAAGAAGTCTTGTGGCTTCTTATTTTCAATATAATTGTCCTCAGTGTCTGAATATTTCAGTTTCACATTTTTCCTAAATAATGCCACTGGGATCCATTTTCTTTAAAGCACCCCTACCCCCTTGAGTTATTCTCTGAAAAAAATTTTCAGGTATGAGGTTAATGAGTCAAAGAAGAAAAAAAACTTTTTAAAAAATGGATTTTAATAGTTATTGCCAAATTGTCCCTGTTGTCTGGTCTCCATCTAATCTTCATTTGAAACGTTTGTTTGTTTGTTTGTCAGATTTATCAAGTATCAGTAGCCATCTATGTATTACTGTATTTTAATGTCCTTTTGCTGCCCACTAATCTTATTGTGATCTTTTTATCCTTTGAAGTGTTGGTTTTGTGGTTATGCTTTGGGTCTAGTACTTCCATTTGTGCTTTGCAGTTCAACTGTCAATATTTTATTCCATTGTTTGTCAGCTCTTCTGTGCAGTGATTGGTTAAGCCTGAAGTTGGCTTGCTATGATTCACAATTGGAATATGATTTTTTCTAAGAAGTTTTTTTCAGCTTGCCCAATTCTGAATATACATATTTATCCTGAAGAAACAGGAAGATGTACATAATGATAGTGCCATTTAAAATAGCAAAGCTGTCACTGGGGACTCAGCAGTAAGTAATGACTGAACTAAAAGGGCATATCCATGCCAGAAAGTTCTGTATAGCCATTAAACCAAAAGTGAGTGTGAAAAGATTAAGATGCTGTCCTTAAGGTATAAGGTAGTCATGTTTGTATGCACATGTAAAAGCATTGTGAGGGATTCTGTGGTTGGAGGGGAGACGTTTCATCTCAAATTTATTATTCTATGGCATTTCTAAAATACAAACCCCAACTCAAGAGCAGCTCCTTCTTCCTTAGTAAGAAAGTGCTTAGGAAAAAAGTCATCCATGTTTATGTGGGATGAGATGAGACAGGCTTCCATTTCTAATATTAATGTGTTGGTTCCAATTCATGTGTGTAATTTCATCATATGTATTGTTTCCACTCACAATTTCTGACTTTTAGTTTCCACATGCTTTCGTAATGTCAGTTCCTTTGAATCATCTAACATCCAGAGCTTGTCACCTCACTCGTTTGTAGAGTTGTGTAGCTGTCATCATTCTAACTTTTTTTTCACATAGTCCAAATGTTAAAAATGCAGGATGCCATGTGGTGAAGAGCACTCCCAGCTCAGCCCCACTTCGTTCCCCTGCCCCACCGTCACCCCATCTTATGGTCTGGTTTGTTTTTGCATATATGTAAAAAAACAAACACATCCTCTTAATTCTTTCTCCTTCCAGAACATAAAAAGCAAATGCTGTGTTCCCTGTCCTACAGCTTACCTTCTTTTTTCCCCCCCTTTTACTTTTTTGTTTGACTTAATGATCTTTTTTATGTCTTTATATGGATACATTAATTGCTTTTGTTTTATTTTTCACAGCTATAAACTAGTCTGTTAAAAAGTCTACAGTTGGCCGGGTGTTGGTGGCGCACGCCTTTAATCCCAGCACTCGGGAGGCAGAGGCGGGCGGATCTCTGTGAGTTGGAGACCAGCCTGGTCTACCGAGTGAGTTCCAGGACAGCCTCCAAAACAATACAGAGAAGCCCTGTCTCGAAAAACCAAAAAAAAAAAAAAGTCTACAGTTTTCCACGAACCCCAAGTGCCTGCATATACCACAGTTAGTGCAGTAGCAGCCCTTCCAGGGCACTCTGAGTTCCTTATTGTAGCTCAGACAGTCAGGCTTTCACTGAGCTCACTTACTCCTGACTTAGGAGGTAGCGTTAGTACTATCTGCTATTGAAATCCGAGGAGAGAAAAACACAGTCAATATTTGCATATCATTTCATTCTTTGTCTGTTTGCTTGCAGTGTTGGGGATTGTACCCATGACCTTGTGCACCTAGATGGCAAGAGGCCTGCTAGCGAGCTTCACCTCTAGCCTACCAGTGTCATTTCTCAAATATTTGTCCATTTATTTATGTGCACATCACAGACCAGGCTGGAAGTCATAGTCTTGTCTGTGCTTAGATCCACAGAGGACCTGCCTTAGCCTCCTGAGTGCTGGGATTATAGAGTGGATTGCCATGCCTGGTTCTTGCATCATTTTAAAACTTTGATGAAGCTAAATGTCAACACTAATTATGTAGGCTTAGATTTTTAGTCTAGGTGAGGGCAGTACTATTTGAGTAAATTGAACTTAGTCTAGGCTTTGCTGACCCACTGGCCTTTGGATAGACAGGGAGTTTAATAAGCTCTGCATTTTTTTAAAGATGTATTTATTTATTATGAATACAACATCCTGTCTCCATGTATGTCTGCACACCAGAAGAGGGCACCAGATCTCATTATGGATGGTTGTGAGCCACCATGTGGTTGCTGGGAGTTGAACTCAGGACCTCTGGAAGAGCAGTCAGTGCTCTTAATCTCTGAGCCATCTCTCCAGCCCTAGCTCTGCCTTTTTTGACCTTGAAAATAAGTGTATAGTCATTGGGGAATTGTAGAATAGTGCATATGAAGGTAGTCAGGACTCCAGGCACACTTTTATCTTGAGCCCTGGCTTTAAATACCTGACTACTGCCTCTCACCCCTCTTGGGACAGGGTCTTACTGTAACCCAGGCAGACCTCCAATCTTTAGTCCTTCTGCCTCTGCCCCAGAGTGCTGGATTATGGACATATGCCACAACACCTGGCTCACACTGCCTTATTTTCTGACCTGTTTTGATGCACATGTGGCTTACTGGCCTGCTGTAGTTGCCCTTATCCACCAGATCGCCATCCTAAAGTGTTGCACCACTTTCTATTTTGTTTTTTCCTCTTGGGGTCTGGGGTTTTGGTGAATTTGATCTAAGCATAAAAAAGCAACACTCTACTCTCCCCAGCTAGGGAGGATCTTACCCAATAGGTATGACTTGGAAGGAAAACTGCAGTCCTCATTCCTATGCTCATTAGAAGACTGCCAGTCGGAGTTTTTGCTTAAAATGATTGCAAGCTTTCAGAGTTTGTGTGCACACTTCGGTAACATAGTAACAGATCAGAAACCTGGCAGCTCTGAACCTGTCCTTTCAGTAAAATTCAGCCTGCTTATTGTTGAAAACAGACGGTCTGTTTCCAGAGTCAGAAAGGTAAGGTCAGGATTGAAACACTTCTGCTTTTAGCCACAGCCTGCCACTTGTCAGTTGAGAAGCTTCTGCCAGGCCAGGCCCTTACCTAGCTGTGTCTCTTTCTTGCAGGCATGACAGCCAGCGCAGTTGCAGCTCTTGTCCTCATGACCTCCTCCATCGTATCTGTGGTGGGGTCTTTGTACCTGGCCTACATTCTGTACTTTGTGCTGAAGGAGTTTTGCATCATCTGCGTCACCACATACGTGCTGAACTTCATTCTCCTCATCATCAATTACAAACGACTAGTTTACTTGAATGAGGCCTGGAAGCGACAGCTGCAGCCTAAGGAAGACTGACGGCTGGCGGATTCCCATCCAACTGTCTCAAACACTTCTTTCATTAAGTTTATTTTGCAAGTTTTTTTTTAATTCACAACAGACACTTTCCCTGAGAATCTTAAACTGATTTTTTAAAATACTGTAAATTAGAAGGGGCCCTAGCTATTTTCTGTGTCAATCTTCATTTTAAATCCGGATACAAAAAAGGATACGACGAGCCAATCAAAGACAAGCTTTAACTTTACCTTGAAGATGTTTCTGAAATAATAAAATGTAGCCCTAGCCCCCGGTCCTCAACCGTAAAGTGAGCAGCCATTGCTAGTAATTCTTTAATGTGCATAAATTCAATTTCAGGTATAACAAATGTGATCATGAACATGAAAATATTTTAGAGTAGATACTGTATTAAATATTGCCATGTTTACAATATGTAATATGTTTTTAGCCGATGGATTTAAACCTGTAGATTCAATTAGAGTCCATTCGTGTGATATTTGTAAATAAAGGTAGAAACATTGGATCCACCCCTGCAGAACGTACTGTACAGTTTAGTTGAAGTGTAGTAAGAAAGAATTGTCAGCTCATCGTGACTGCTAAGTAGTGGAGATAGTAGACCCCATCAGAACATCTTGGGAAACGTGCTGACAGCCCTGGTGCAGGATTGACAGCAGACACAGTAGGATGCTTGGTTCCCTTCCATCTCTCACTCTGAGAGGAAGAGGCTAAATCTGAACATCCAAGTCGAGTTTGACTAGTCATAAAACTGGATGGATCCTAACTGCTTAGAATGCCGTGTGACCGGACCTTTAATTCCAAGGCTCTTGGGACACGGATGGTAGGAGATGGACGTAGTCTTTGGAGAAAAACTGAAACCACTATGGCATTTTTGGGCAAAGCCTCTTAGCCAGTAAGTAGCTGACCTTTCAGTATAGATGTGTTCCCTTGATACTGGTGCCTGTCAGCTCAACAGTATTAGGACTGGGATAAGCACCGGCCAAGTGCTCGAAGTCAGTCCATAGTGTTTCCTTTCTCATTCCTCTTTCACTAAGGGTTGTCAGTGAGTGTTTCAGAACCACATACTGAATTTGTAAACCTTAGGGCTGACTCGGAAGAAACACAACACATAGAAAGACCTGGAAGAGAAACATGGAAACTTTGTTGCATTCTAGTAGTCACACAGAAGCAGTGAGAAGAACCCAGAGGTGATCTGAATAAACCCTGATGAAATGGTGACTGTGTTTCTCTGGTTAGCATCTTACAGGAGATGTTAAAAGTGCCTTCTGTCTTAAATCTCAAACCAAATCATTCTGTGTGTTGAACTGGGGCAGAAGTATCCCTCCTTTCATTCCTTACCACGAAGCAGAGAACTTGCATTCTACCAGAAGGGGCTGTGCCGCCATTTTATTCCTTGAGTTGAGAAGTAGTGGCAGTGTTTTTGTTTATGATTTGGTTAATCATTATGTTAAAAATAGGCAACTAGATGGCATCTTTTGAGAGCTTTTATTTGCCTTCTTTTGGAGGGAGGGAACAGGCTTTGCTTTGTAAAGAACTCCTGTGGTCAGCAATCCGTTGAGTGGTTTACGACCTTCAGTTACAACTGATGCACCATAGGATTTCTGGCCCAGGGCAGGTATAAAATATGAATTGTAATGCCCTTTTTCTTAAAAATCAGTTTCTTAAAAGACAGATTAATTTGTATTTCATCAAAGGTTGTGTTTCTCCACGAATGTGAACATCTCCATGACTGTCTACGTATGCATTGTTGTCTTCTGAAGGAGTTAAAGAATGTACCGAATGGTGTTTATGGAGAACCAAGTCCTCATGGGAGAACTGTACAGTGAGGTCATCTTGTAGCCCTTCATCCAGGTCTCCCAAGGCAGTAGCCAAGACTTCTGCTACTTACACATCAAGGCTGTGCTAAACAAGTCCCTTGGGTCCCAATTCCAAAGGATCTTTTGTATCTTTTATCACTCAGTAGAGTGTCGTTAAAGCTTGTCTTGACATTACAGGTGTCTTCAGCACTTATTCAGGAAAAGGTGAGAGTATTCATCCATCAGACCCTTCATGGTTTCCCTTTGCTTTCCTAAGTCTTGGAAGTGCCACCACTGTAGATTGTATGGACTTTTTGTTTATTACATTCCTGTGACCTAATAGAATGAACGACCCCTTTCTCACTGAGAGTTAACAGGTGCTGTCTGAATAGCAGCCTTTGCTGACCAGTGTGCTCACGCTTGCCTATGGTCCTGCCACTTGGGAGGCAGAAGCAGGAGGATCAGTGGTTCAAGGTCATCCTTGACTACATAGCAAATTAGAGACCAGCCTTCGCTACAGGAGACCCTATCTTTAAAAGAAAAAAAAGAGAGAGAGAGAGAGAAAGCATTTGCAAATATATGTTCTCAGTAAACTGCCCTGTTGTGTTTTATTTGGTAGTTTTTGCCCTGAGGAAATTCAGGCTCCTCTCTGTCCTTCTATTAAGTGGTATGGGGGAGAAAAATGCTGTGTTATAAAACTGCTAATATTGTCATGGCTGTTTCAGACTGAATATTTAAACACTGAAGAAGCAGTGACACAAACCTTGAATCCCAGCACTTGGGAGGCAGGGGCAGGCGGATCTCTGAGTTGGAGGACAGCCTGGTCTAGATAGTGAGTTCCAGGCCAACCAGGATTATATGGTGAAACCCTGTCTCAAAAAGCCCACCCACAAAATAATGACAGACATTGATTGACGCATGACTAGCAGTATGTGTGGGAGGACAGACGGGGGAAATGACTCCTGCAGAGATTCTGTGAAGCCTTTCATTGCACCTCATAGTGGTAACGTTGAAGGAGTGAGAGAAGTCCCAGCAGGCATGCTCCAGGGACTGTGGCTGGCCTGTGGGGTTTCATGGGCCTTCCCCACAGCTGGTTTCTATCAGGGAGGGGAAACTGGAACAACTCAGGTTTAACAAGCTGCACTAGCTGCATTCCAGGGATTACTTTTTCTTCGTATGTGTAGCCTCTCCTTCAATCTTCTGTTGTTGTTCTTTTGTATTTTTTTTAAGAGACACATTATCTCAATCTATAGCCTAGGCTGTCCTAGAACTCAGTACATAGCCCAGGCTGGCTTCAAAGTTGGCATTGCTCCTGCCTTAGCCTCCCAAGTGCTAGAATGAGTGGTTCAAATTCATTATACTTACAAATGTTGAAAGACATTGACTTTTTTCATATAAGGAGATACAGCCCACTTGTCATTCTTGCAGAAGACCTGGGTTCAGCTCCTAACACCCACATGCCAGCTTAACAACCATCTGTAACTCCAGTTCAGGGGATCCGATGCCCTCTTCTGGCTTCCAAGGGTACTGCATGCATATGGTGCATAGACATACATGCAGGCAAAAGACCCATACATATATGAAAGTATTTCATTTGGTACAAGATATTCTTTGCCTATGAGGTAACATAGAGGACAATAAAATTAATGTTGCTTTTTTGTTTGTTTTTATTTATAATTTTTTCAAAAGACTACAGTAAAAGTGCAGCCAGGCATGGTAGCATATACCTGTAATCCCAGCACTTGGGAGGTGGATGCTGGAGGACCAGAAGTTCAAGGACAACCTCAGTTATATGAGACCTCATCTCAAAAGCAAAAATTAAAAACACAGAAACTGCTCAGCAGTTACTTCCTAAGCTATAGTTAGCATCACCGGTTGATTCTGATGAATATTGACAGGTAGTGGCTTTACCTTAAAAGTCAGGAAAATGTCAGCAAGGCTCCCCGCTGTCGTTTCCAGAACAGTGGAAACCCACCTGGGGTATGGGTGTCAGCCACCCCTGTGCTTTCCTCCAGCATACATCAGTGAACCTGCCCCTCTACACGTTTTAGCACTTTCCGCAGCACATTTAAGAATCCTAATTTGTGAGAGAACAACCCTACAACCAAAGGGGCAGAATAGGATTCCAGGCAACTTGATCAAACAGCCCTACCCCCTCTGTAAACTAATTGGCCCAGAAGAGGTAAAATGTTATGAAGCTGTATTGAGCATGACCTAAATGATAGGTGTATATGACCTGTGAAGTATGTTCCATCTAAAATATTACTCATGCTTCGAAAGCTCCTGAGTAAACATTCATGTAAAAAGGAGTTCACTGGGAAGATTCCCCCTTTAATATAGATAGAAATATTCTTTATCAGAGATTTAGGATACCATTTTGCTAACTGGTAAATAAAAACATGTAAATATGTAAGAATGTTTATTTGTTGCACATAACTTTTTTGGTATAAAATAAATGTAGACGTTACCTGTGGACATTGTGCTGCCATTGTTCTTACTTCAGTGTGGAGTCTTCAAAATGAAGCTGGATGAAATGAAGTCTAGAGTCAGGAAGAACTTACGCATCTGTTACTGTAACCCTGTCCCTACAGGTACTAATTTCAAGCCTTTTCTCTTAAATCCCGGGTAACTTAGAGATGATACAGACGTTTGGATTCCTGTGGGTTTATTACTTATGTGATTGTCAAGAGTCCATGACAGGGCTGGATGCTGTGGTAGCTTATGCCTTTAATCACAGCAGAGGCAGACCAGCCTGGCTCACATGAGTTTCTAGGACAGCCAGAGTTACTTGGTGAGACCCTGCCTTTAAAAAAGAAAGAAAGAAAGAAAGAAAGAAAGAAAGAAAGAAAGAAAGAAAGAAAGAAATCAGCAGTGGGCTGTTGCAGAGGACCTGGGTTCAGTTCCCATCATCCACATGGTGGCTCACAACAGCTCCAGGGTTAAAAAGAGAATCCACGAAAGGGCTGGGGATATAGCTCAGAAGGAAAGCATTTGTGTAGTGGCCTCTAAGTTTAATTCCCAGCAGGAGAAAAAAAAGGGGGGGGGAAAATATGCCAGATATTGGTGGCACATACCTGTCATCCCAGGGCCTGGGAGATAGAAGTTTGAGTCTCAAGAGTTTGAGGTCGTCTTCAGCTACATACTGTGTTGGAGGCCAGCCTAGGCTGTGTAGGATGCTGTCTCAGAAAACAACTGACTAAGAATGGCTCAGGGGTTAAGAACTGGTTGCTCTTGGAGAAGACCATTAAGTTTGACTCCCAACACCCCACATGGCAGCTCACAGCCATCCGTAACTCCAGTCCCAGGGGATCTGATGTTCTCAGGAACCAGGTGTGCAAATACAGTAGGTACAGACTTACTTACATGGAGGCAAACACCCATACACACACATAAAAGGGGGAGGAAAACTGACAATAGATACATTACATAGAATGTTTTAAGATGTCTTTCCATAGCTTTCTTTGAATTTTCCATTCCGACAGTCCTCTAAACAGGTAACATTTACAAACAGATGATTCCATTTGAAATCTAACTTAGCCATCCTTCATTGACTAAAACGTGTTTTACATGAAACTTTAGGACTTGGGTTGCAGATATAGTCCTGTTAATAGCTTGCACGGTGGGTGTATAAGGCCCCAGGTTCGGTATAAACTGGGAGTGATAATGAGTACCTGTAATACCAGCACTTGTGAAGTAAAGGCAGGAGGACCAAAGCATTCAAGGTTGGACCAGTGACATGGCTCAGTGAGTTATGGCACTTGCCATATTCTGACAGCCTGAGTTTTATTCCCAGGACCCATATGGTTGAAAAAGAGCACCCATTACCACAAGTTGTCCTCTGACATCCACACATGGACTGTGTAATGAACACGCAATAAGGAGATTAATAATTTTAAAAATTTAAGGTCATCCTATGCTGAATACTAACTTAAGAGACTAACCCAGCTGGGTGTAGTGGTGAGCACCCTTAATTGCAGCAGAGGCAGGCAGATCTCTGAGTCTGAGGCCAGTCTGGTCTGCATAGTGAGTTCCAGAAAAGCGAGGATTGCATACAGAGAACCTGTCTCAAAACAACAACAAAAAAAGAGACTAGCCTTTATAATACATGAGATCCTGTTTCAGAAAAACAAAACAAAACACCATTTTAGGACTCATGAACCATATCTTATCTCTAATTTGTTAAATGTTTGCATGTCGCCGGGTGTTGGTGGCGCACGCCTTTAATCCCAGCACTCGGGAGGCAGAGGCAGGCGGATCTCTGTGAGTTCGAGACCAGCCTGGACTACCAAGCGAGTTCCAGGACAGCCTCCAAAGCCACAGAGAAACCCTGTCTCGAAAAAACAAAAAACAAACAAACAAAAAAGTTTGCATGTCTGTTCCATTTAGCATATTGTCAACTAAGAAACTTTATTTAAATTTATGTTAAACTAGGGGCAGACTGGAGAGATGGCTCATTAATTAAGAGCAAAGGACTGATGTTCAATTTCCAGCATCTACATGGTGACTCACAACTTCCTATAACTCCACTTCCAGGGGATCTGACATGTTCTGGCCTCCACCAGCACCAGCCCAGTCATGCACAAGGTACCCAAACACTCACACACAGAAAATAAACATTAAATTAATAAAGTATGAATAAAAAATATATTAAGCTAAGACACAAAACAGGATTATTTTGAAATTTTTAAGAGGTCCATGGTGACATGAAACACAGCTCTCCTAAAATTCCTTGAACTAAATAATATTTTTAAATGATCTTGAGATATTAGGAGGAGGCTCTCTTCTTTTCATGGGTACAGGAAAGGAAGACTGGAAAGGGATGTGTATAGAGCCGTGCAGCTGATCCTGAGGAAGGAGTCCAACCGTCTCCAGCACTGCATATGGCCCCTTGTCTTTCACCTGACTGACAGCTCGGGAGCCCCCTGAAGGACATCCATCCTCACACTAGTGTTGATTTTGGGAAGAACACTGTGCTATATAGTGGAGCCTCTGGACCAGGGAAACAGTAACAAATCCCCAGGGAAGGACTGGAAATGGAGTTTCTAATAGCAGTTGGCCACCAAGTAGGTGCCAGGACTGGAACTTGGAATCTCTGGAAGAGCAGTCAGTGCTCTTTTTTTTTTTTTTTTTTTTTTTTTTGGTTTTACGAGACAGGGTTTCTCTGTATTGTTTTGGAGGCTGTCGGTCCAGCCTGGCCTTGAACTCACAGAGATCCGCCTGCCTCTGCCTCCCGAGTGCTGGGACTAAAGGGGTGCGCCACCACCGCCCGGCACAGTCAGTGCTCTTATCCTCTCTCCAGCCCCTTACCAGTATCTCTTAAGGAAGTATGAGTGTCCACACGCAGGTTTTCCAGAGTATACAAAGCTAAGGTCAAAAACTGATGCAGAAATGACCTCCAACACTTCTCAGCACATGTTACTGAGCTTAAGCACAGACATCCATAGCAAGTTATTATTCCCATACAAGAGAAGCTTTATTGTCACTTCTAATGTCCCCTATTAGCAGATCACAAAATCCAGAGTAAAAATCTCTAGAGTCAGGACCTGTGAGAACACCTGGTCTGTTGAGAAACTGTGTCTCACTTCATCAGAGGTTGGGCCTGCAGTGAGGTAGTTCTGGCTTTAGAATGTGAATGGTCTGGTTCCCAAACACTGCGTCCTTGGCACTGAATGGTGATGTCTGGTTTCGTTGGCAATCCTCCAGTATCGCTCTCGCAAAATAAATGCCACGTTTTTGGGGTGTCTCTGGCGAGTGAAGATCCCCTTCTTGTTCCCTATTACTCTAGTCGGTGCTTAAAAAACAAGGGGGCTAGTAAGATGGCTCAGAAAGTAAAGGAACTTGCCATTAAACCCAATCACCCCAAATTCAATCACAGGCACCCAAGAGGAAGGAGCAAGAGTGGTCTAGCCTCTACCTGGGTGCTATGGCATGTGCACATACACCCTCCCCACTTCCTCACATGCTAAATAAAAATGTACTAAAGTTTAAAACGCCATGGAGGAACACACCTAGCACCCAAGAGGCCATCTGGTCACTTTGAGTTCCAGGCCAGCCTGGTATACAGGCCAGCCTGAGACCCTATCAAAAGTTGGAGATTAATTGTCCCAATTTTAAGTAATGTAAAATAGGCCAAAACAAGTACTTCCCTACCTAAGCCATTTCCCCAGCCCCATTTCCGGTATTCTTAAAAATGCCCAGAACTGGAAAAGCCAACCTGAGAAAAATCCATAAGCCTAACAGGAACTTACTCTGGTTGGTCATAAAGTCAGCAAAATTCCAAATGAGCTCTCCAACCACATATTCTTTTCGTTTCTGATCGAAAACCGAATGATAGTTTTCCAGGAGAGCTTTCTGGTACTCCTCACTGAACATGAGAGGTGGATCCTGGGATTCAAGGCAAAGGGAATGTCAGAGTTGGGACTGAAGTGTTAGATAAAAAAATCAGAGACCCAGCAGGGTGGTGGTGGTGTACGCCATTAATCGCAGCAATTGTGAGGCAGAGGCAGGTGGATCTCTGTGAGTTCAAGGCCAGCCTGGTCTACAGAGTGAGTTCCAGGACAGCCTCCAAAACCACAGAGAAACCCTATCTTCAAAAACCAAAAAAAAAAAAAAAAAAAAAAAAAGTCACTGTTGAGCCCCGTGTGGGAGCACACACCCATCACCCAGAACTCGAGAGGCTAGGAGGGAGAGTGTGAAGTTGAGGCCAGCCTGGGCATCAAACAGGCCTCAGAAAAAAACAAAAACAAAAACGTGGTGGTGGGACTGGAAAGAAAGCAGAGGCCTGCATGCAGGGGCCACGGTGTTGTGTAGGGTTGGGAGACTCCTAAGAGCTAAGGCGGGGTCACTGGTCCAGCTGAGGGCAGGTAAAGCCTGATGAGATTAGTGTCACCACTGTGGTGAGTGGCAGTGAGGCATTCTATACAGTTTACCTCGTGAAACCCTGCGATTGCTTCTGCTCCATATTCGCTCTGGATAACCGGCTTCTTGTGAGTCTTATACCAGTTCTCAAACTGGCTCTTCAGCTGCGGCTGGATCACCTCCAGATGCCCATAGTCATGATACCAGGAGAAGTAGCTGTTCACACAGATCACGTCCACGTACGGGGCCTAGGACAAGAGTGGTCAGGTGAGTGCCCCTCACACTGAGGGCCTCTTCAAGGTCAGCATAGAATGCAGATGATGCAACTAACCCCACCCAACATGTAGGAAATAAAGCCAAGAACAGACCCAAATGGGCTAGTCTCTAATGCTAGGTGGAGGCTTCCAACTGGGCCATGGCTGGAAGCAATATCCCTGGCCTTGTTGGATCATACTCCTCTCTATTCCTGTCACTGGACTCCTGTGGCCTTGCCTGGAGATGTGATCCAACCTGAAGTGTGGATTTTCTTTTCACAGTTGAATTTTTTAGATAGACTTACGTAGCCCAAGCTGGCTGACTTCAAACTCCCTATGCAGTCAAGGCTGATCCTGAACTGATGACCCGTCTACCTTCACCTCCCAAGTGCTGGGATCACAGGTGTGCACTGCCTACGCCTAGTTTTCTGCCTTGCTGGGGATCAAGTCCAGGGTTTCAGGAATTGGAGGCAAACACTCTTATCAATGGCACTACATCTCCTGCTCATTTTTTAAAGGGAGGGCACTAGGGTTGCAACCCAAGGGCTTGTGCATGCTAAGCATTGGCTGTATCACTGAGCCATGGCCCCAGCTCCTCACAGAGTCTCCTTCAATCCACAGTTGAGAGGGCAGGTCTGTGAGCGGGTAGACTGGCTAGACTTCCTAGGGAGTGTTGAGATCCACGGGCAGGGGCAGGATGCATCTCGGCAGCAGGAAAGAGCTCTGCATCCAGGGGGCTAGCCTCCAGGTCACACATACTGCTCCGCTGCAAACAAAACTGCCCTTCGAATGATGAGGACTTTCCCAGAGGACCTCAGACCCTCTCCAGGCTGTGGTGGCAGGAAGATGCAGTCAGTAGGAAGTTATGGAGGATCAAATGCCACTTCATAAAAGCACACTCCAGGCAAAGATGCCAGCCACAGGGCACCCAGCAAAGCCTTCCCCTTGCACACAGAAGGTAAGGCGAGCATCCGAACGGCCAGCAACAGGGCCTCAGTGAGTGCAATCTGTGTTTTTGAAGAGCGGGCTCTAGAAATCTAGAGAAGGCAGGGCTAACAATACTTGCTGTTAATTATTTTCAGATATTTAATTTATAAATGAGTGCTTTCCCTGTATATTTGTATATGCATCAGGAGGTGTCAGATACCCTGGAACAAGAGGATTATGAGCCACCACCATGTAGGTACTGGGAACCTAACTCTGGTCCTCTGTAAGTGCTCTTAGCCTATCAGCCGTCTCTCCAGTCCCGACAAGGCTTGCTTATCCATGAGAAAATGACTGTGTTGACAGATCCTGTCTCAGAAACAGGAGGAGGAGGTAGGTGCTGCAGAGATGACTCAGAGCTAGGAACTCACACTGATGGTTTGAATGAGAACAGCCCCCATAGTTCGTATGGCGGAATTCCTGGTCTACAGTTGGTGGAACAGGTGTATCACCCGGGGTGGGTTTTGAGGTTACATTCGAGGTGGCTGGATCACCTCCAGATGCCCATAGTCATGATACCAGGAGAAGTAGCTATTCACACAGATCACGTCCACTTACGAGGCCTGGGACAAAAGTGGTCAGGTGAGTTTGCCTCTCACACCGAGGGCCTCCTCAAGGTCAGAATAGAATGCAGATGTGACTGCATTCAAGATGTGAGCTCTCAGCTACTGCTCCAGCACCATGCCAGTCTGCTGACATGCACTGCATAAAATTAGTGAAAAGGGCAGGGGACAGAGTCTAACCGCATGATGGCTCATTCACACCTGTGATCCTAGAGCTCAGGAGGATTTTGTTTGGTTGGTTGTGTTTGTTTGTCTTTTGTTTTTCCAGACAGGGTTTCTCTGTATTGTTTTGGAGGCTGTCCTGGAACTCGCTCTGTAGACCAGGCTGGCCTCGAACTCACAGAGATCTGCCTGCCTCTGCCTCCCGAGTGCTGGGATTAAAGGCATGCGCCACCAACACCTGGCTCTCAGGATTTTGAGTTCTAGGCCAGATTAGGCTATGTAGTGGGATTCTGTTCACCAACAAGCAAAAACCATGAAATTCCAAGGGAGACTGGTTGGGGAAAGGAAATGGATCAGTGGAAGTTTGAGATGGACAGGGGAGGGAAATGGGTGTGACTATGGTCAAAATTCACTATATACACATATGAAGATATAATAAACCCTACATAGCCGGGCAGTGGTGGGGCAAGCCTTTAATCCCAGCACTTGGGAGGCAGAGGCAGGCGGATCTCTGCGAGTTTGAGGCCAGGTTGGACCACAGCCTCCAAAACAATACAGAGAAACCCTGTCTCAAAAAACAAAAAAAATAAAATTAAATAAAGTAAACCCTACATATATAATAGATGCTAATAAAAATCACCATTAGAAAAGGCCAAGTCTACAATGCAAACAAATACATTGTCATGGCTGTAGCCCAGCCTTCTTGGGGTTAGAAGCCACACTACCTAGGGGATAAGCAGGAAGTTAGTAATTTTAACCATTTGTGAAAATGGCTGGACTGACCACTGCTGGTTTCTGTTAGCAAGCACAAGATTAAAGGCCACGCACAGGTGAGCAGAGGCAGCGTGGGGACCGCCCCACCCCCAGGCTCACCCCCAGGTCTGCATCATATTTGGTGTTGGTCACAAAGGTCACAGGACGGGTGGGGTCCAGGGTTTTGGTGTGGGTGATCAGCGTCCTGTTCATGGAAGGCAGAAGACAGGCTGTCAGATTGGGAGGGGCTCTCAGACACCTCTCTCCCTTCCCATTTCCCCATCAGTGGTGGCTCACAGCGAAGGCCATGGCTGCACGGAGCCACGAGAGCAGAGATGAGTACAAACCGAAACGTCAAGAGGCAGCAGAGATGAAGGAGAACGGAGCACCCAGGGGTGGGGTGGGGGCATGATTTAAATTAAGAGCCGGGGAAAGATTTCCATTGACTCATGAGGAATGGAGGAGAGGACCCAATGGAAGGAATAGTCCTAGGGTTAAGGTTTGGTGCCTGGGACCTATTCCTGGCCTCCACATCGCAGATCACCATCTATCACCATTGGAGACTACTTTTTTCTTTTATATTGTTTTGATCATTACTCTTGCAGTATGAAGGATGTGTGTTGCCCCTTGGACTTAGGTTCTGAACCCACCTTCTCAAACAGCTCCAAATCAGCAAAACCAGTCTGGGCTACTCCAGCCTAGCCAGTCCCTGCCTCATCCCTGCTGTCCCCTAATGATGCATGTCCCTCACCACTTCCTGAAAAAGTTTGGGAGCCTCGGGAAGCTATTTGCTTCCCCTTCAAGGCAAAAGTCCTATCCACCCAGCCCCAGTCCCAAAGTCCCCTGTATATCGTGAGCTTGAAAGGGCTGTGAGTATCCAGAGCTGTCACTGGTCTAAGGGAAGGGAATTTCTCAAACCCCTTACGTACTCCGAGGAGCACAGGTTACTATGTGGGACTGGAGGCAGCGTCAGAAGGAGCTTAGATTGCCTCTGTGTGACAAGCAGCGTAATTCACCCTAAAGACAAATAACAGTCTCATGACGGATGAAGGCTGGGCCTGGAGGTACTCTCAATGGTAGAGCCCTTGCCTAGCATTCGTAGATAGGCCCTGTTGGATCCCCAGCACTAGAAAATATTTAAAATCTTTGTGTTATTAAAAAAAAAAGTACCCTTGGCCTGGCGTTGGTGGCGCACGCCTTTAATCCCAGCACTCGGGAGGCAGAGGCAGGAGGATCTCTGTGAGTTCGAGACCAGCCTGGACTACCAAGCGAGTTCCAGGACAGCCTCCAAAGCCACAGAGAAACCCTGTCTCGAAAAACCAAAAAAACAAAAACAAAAAAAGTCCCCTTTTATGGTACTGGACAGATAGTCCAGTGTTTGCTCTCTTCCAGAGAACTCGGGTTCAATTCCCAGCACCCACGTGGTGGCTTACAACAGCTCTAACTCGTTATTAGGGATCTGATGCCTTCTAGCCTCTGAAGGCAGCAAGCACACATGGTACAGACATACATGCAGGCAAAATGCCCATACACACAAATAACTTTAAATCCCGTGTGTAGTCTCATGCCTGTGTAAATTGGTTTTCTAAAGATAAACCCAAAACGTCACAAAGTGGTTTTCTAGTTTTCCACGTGTTTCTGTCTAGAATGAACGAGTGCACAGATGACTGCCAGGTTCGATAGACCATGCCTGTAATCCTAGCACCGAGAAGAAAGTAGAGACACAAGGGTCAGGGATTCAAGGCCCAGCTTTGGCTACATAACAAAATTGAGGCTAGCCTGCACTATCTGAAACCTTGTTAGGAAAAAAAAATCAGGCAAGGGACTGGATAGATGACTCAGTTGTGAAAAGCACTTATTGCCAAGCCCAGAGACTCGAGTTCAAGCCCCAGGACTTCCATGGTGGAAAGAAAACCAATTTCTACAAGCTGTCCTGTGATCTCCACATGTATGTCACAACACACATAGAAATAAACAAATTAAAAATAAATCTTAAAACCAAAAGATTGTCAGGCTCGGTGGATCATATATGATCTCAGCACTCAGAAGGCAGGATCAAAAGGGTTAGTGCTTGTTTGAGGCCAGCCAGGGATATACAGCAAGACCCTCTCTCAAAAATTAATAATATATGAAATCCAAAGCTCTGTATATCAAAGGGAACTCTGAATTTCCCTAGGATGAGAAAAATCACAGTCTCAGAAGTGATGGACTGGCAAGGGATACTGACATTCACAGCATACGTTCACCCCCTCAAAGCTGACTTCCACACTTCTGGCTGCCTATAGAGGTTGAGTCAGGCCAAAGGGCAAGGCCACGGGCCTGACTCAGCCCAGGGCAGGAAGCATACTCACTTGAAGTAATAACCGGCAGGTTTCAGAGCAGAAGAAGGCTCATTGGCCACAGACCACATCACAACCGCAGGGTGATTTTTGTCCCTGCGTACCAACTCCTCCATCACCTCCAGGTGGTGCCGAAGAGACTCATTGCCAAGACTCTGGCTGTGGAGCCGGGAAAGAAAGGGTCACCAGAGGCTGTGAGGGGAGCTGGGCAAGTTGGGCAGTGTAGGAGGCTAGGGGCACTCACGGCAGCACGATGCCCACACCGGGGCACTCATCAATGACCACGATTCCGTATCTGTCACACAGCTGAAGAACCTCCTCGGAGTAGGGGTAATGGCTGGTACGGAAGGAGTTGGCACCAAGCCAATAGAGTAGGTTGAAATCCTTCATCAACAGCGGCCAGTCGAAGCCCTTCCCTCGGATCTGGGGGACAGCAGGGCTGTGTGACCTCTGCGCTTGTCACCGGAGAACACCCGCTTTCTTCTGAAGCCCCAGCCCCTATAGAGTCACCCTCTCCCCTCCCTAGGCTCAGTTCACCAACCCCAGCCCATGATGGCCGTCTTCAGAGCACGTGAGGAAGGGAAGGAGGTATCAGGGACTCCCAGCATCCCACATGGGGATGCCACAGCCACAACTCACATCCGAGTCCTCGTGCTTGTTGACACCATGGAAATAGAAAGGTTTCCCGTTTATGAGGAACTTGCTCTCGGTGACAGCCACTGTTCGAATCCCGACAGGGAGGGTGTAGAAGTCAGACACAGGCCCAGCTGTCATCATCCTCACCTAGGAGACCAATGTGCCGGGCAAGAGCACCCAGGTAGACTGAGCCTCATCCATGTCACCCAAGAGGAAGGACTCCCCCCATGCATAACACTTTGGAAATGATTTCCCCCAAGACAGGGTTTCTCAGTGTAGCCCTAGCTGTTCTGGAACTCGCTTTGTAGACCAGGCTGGCCTCGAACTCACAGAGATCTGCCTGCCTCTGCCTCCTGAGTGCTGGGATTAAAGGCATGCACCTGTACCCATCATAGTCTCCATCTTTAGGAGGAACACACTCTTAGACCTACTCTTCACAGCTGGACTTTTCCACAAAGGGATAGAAAGCCAGGAATCTAAGAGCATCTTTGCCTAGACACCTGTCCTGGGATGCCTACTGAAACTAGTCACTAGGTGGCAGCAAAGAGCCTTCCTTAGCCCCAGCTCCAAATCCCCATTACCTCCAAGGAGTACAGGTAGGCTGGATGGTCATGCATCAGGTATGGCCACCAAAGGTTGGCACCTGGCACCTGAAGTTGACCCTGGTCCCCTGTTTCCTGGGCCACGACTTGGCCATCCTCATCCAAAAGACGAACTTCTAACTGGAAATGTTCATTGCCCTTGACGGAAATCCAGTAATTTACCAGCCCTGTGGGAAACGAGATAGGGACAGAAGCAGATAAGACTTTATCATACCACACTCACAGAAGCCCCCTCAGGCCCCAAGACCCTAGCAAACAACTGCTTGATTTTTTTCAGTTTATAGTCCAGGGAGGAGAGATTAGGGGTGGTACAATAGGGGAGGAACCAAGTGACCCGCTATCTCCAGCTATGTCACTTAGACAAGACCCCACTTCTCAACTGGTCCTCATTTTCTTGCAAAGTGAGGTCCACCAGATGGGTGGTTTCTGAAGCCATTGTTGACTTGGGCAGTCTCAATCTTGTCTTCTGAGGCTGATGAAGCAGGTGATGGTTACAGGACACTCAGAAGCCTTTTCTTTAGGGAGCGTTTCCTCTTGGGAACCGAGATAAACAGGGCTCAGCCTAGCATAACACCTTCCACCCAGAGCCCTCACCAATGTTTTGCTCCACGTTAGTGGTCACAGTAATATCGTCGATGTAGGTGGTAGGGGTGGTGTAGAGGACCACAGCCCGGTGCAGTCCCGCATAGTTGAAGAAGTCAAAGTTTGTGTCCTGGACAAAGTAACCCTTAGGATACCTAGGGTGGGAAAATGAAGGTTGATTGTTCCTGTGCCTTTTTTTAATCGTGCGTGCGTGCGTGGGTGCGTGTGTGTGTGTGTGTGTGTGTGTGCGCGCGCGCGTGCGCGCGCTACAGTGCACTGTAGAGATCAGAGGACAGCCTCAGGTACTGGTTCTAGCTGGCCTGACAACTTCCATGAATCCTGCCTCCAGCTCTCAACACGGGAGCATTGAAGAAGACGGGGATTACAGATCTAACCAATCACATCCATCCTTACATGGGTGCCCGGACTTCAAGCTCATGTCCTCATGCTTACACAGTGAGTATTTTACCCACTGAGCCATCTCCCCGACCCATCTGCCTCCCTTGATGTTTAGCTAGCATGTGTCCCCTGGTCTCCCTAGATCAGTGGCTAAAGTCACTCTCCCTACGTGGAAGTCTGCTGGACAGGGGAGGGGAGGGGGGAGGAGGATGCTGCTCACATGGAGGTGTCAGCCTTGTAGATGATGGACCCTGGTGGCAGGGTATGAGGGGTCAGTGTGTTGTTGATGGCAATGGTGACCCGGCAGGTGGTCAGGGGCCCACTCTGGACCAGCTTGCTGATGTCAGCTTCGAAGGGGAGGTGACCCCCTTCATGTTCCACCACGTGAATCCCATTCACCCACTGCAGACACAAGGAGATATGAGCAGAGGGTGACTGGCCAAAGGGTACCCCCTTCCAGAAGCGGCTCCTGCCATAAGCCAGTGGAGCCCTTTCTCCGGCCCATGCACGGAGCCCTTCTCAACAGCCGGGACTGCTTCCCCACCCCAGGCGGCCACTCCTTGCACTGACCACAACAGCGTAGTAATGGGCACTGTTGATCCTCAGCACCACTCTCATATCGGAGTCTTGGGTCCATCGCTGTGGTAGGATTGCTTCCCGCTCATACCACACCCAGCCAATAAAGTTCCGAAGCCGGGCCTCTTGGGTGATGTCATTGAAGCTGGAAGGGACTGGCATGTCCAAAGTTGGGCCGGACTAGGGAAAAAAGAGCTGGAGTCATGGGCTGGGGAATGTAGCTCGGGCAAGTAGAGGGCTGGCCTGCCATGCATGAGACCCTGGGTTCCAACTCTAGCACTGCATAAACCAACCATGGTGCCCATGGGAGGTACAGCCAGGAAGATCAGAGTTCAAGGTTACATAGCATATCTGAGGATACATGAGATTCTATCTAAAGAGCAAGAATCAGGCCAGACAGTGATGGTGCACGCCTTTAATCTTAGCACTCAGGAGGCAGAAGTAGGCAGATCTATGAGTTCGAGGCCAGCCTGATCAGCTGGGGCTACACAGAGAAACCCTGTCTCAAAAAAAAAAAAAAAAAAAAAAAAAAGCAAGAATCAGATCTGTTCTTCATGCCTGCAGCTCCCCCCAGTGCAGAAGCACAAGAGCAAGGGGGGGCAGGACACGGGATGGGGACGACTCTGTAAACACTGGCTGCATGTGGGTAACTCGCTGACAAGTGAGCTGCATGGACAGTTTGTGCAAAACGACTATTGCAACCAAGTTCTTCCACAGGACAGACGGTACCAGGGCCAAGACTTTTACGGAAAGAGTGAGCCCAGGGCCACAGCCCATTCTAAGAAAGGAAGAACCAGACCATGACACGAGAGGCAGATGATCCCTGCCCTGGGAGGAAGGCCAACAGCAGGGCACAGGGCCCCTGAGCTGAGGAAGCTGAGAAGGCATGTGGAGGCTGGCTCCTCCTCACTTCCTCTTTTGCTGAATGCTGGGCAGTGCAGTTGAAAACTGAGCGTCTAAGCCAGGCGTGGTGGCTCATAGTGTGTAACCCTAGCACCTGGGGATTTAAGCAGGATTGCTATGGTTAGAGGTCAACCTGGACACCATAGCGAGATGCTGTGGCAATCTCTAGCGCTACACACACACACACACACACACACACACACACACAGAGCTGGTGAGATGACTCTGGATTACAGGCACTAGTCATCAAGCCTGATGACCTGACTTAGATCCCTGGGACCTAGGAGAGACCAAACTCCAGCGAGTTGTCCTCTGACCTCCGCATGTACCATGCAGCACACGGTGCCCACACACAGTAAATCAATGTTACAAATGTTAAACAAAGGAGAGAGAAAGGTGGGGAAGTGGGAGGAGTCAAGAGGGTAAGAGGAAGTGAGGGAGAATGAATGAATGAATGAATGAATGAATGAATGAACGAATCCGGGAGAGGCAGAGGCTGGGAGCACAGTTTTTCATCAACCTGCTTCTGCACCAACCTTACCACTTAGAGATGGGATCTTCTGCTAACTGTGTGGCAAGTCATGCCCTTTATATGAATCTTGCAACCCCAAGGCATTTCCTGCCTTGGCTGAGCAGAACCGAACCCCACGGGGTGTACCAGCTCTCCACTCTCTATCCCCATCCCCAAATCTTTGTCCTGCTCCTCGCTAGATGTGAGAGCTTGCAAGAGGCAATGTGCACCTTGCTGGAGACATGTGCACAAACACCGACTCCAAACCTAACCCTAACCCTAACCCTGGAGCAGGAGGTTCACCAGGATGCCCAGGCCAGCCTGGGTTACAGTTTCAAAACAAAACAAAAGGCTCGGCAGTGACACGCACGCACGCACAGGGTCCTGGTTCAACCCCTAGCACTATGTAATAAAATGAAAAGTTTAATTTTAAAAAAATCCATTGCTTGGGGCAGCCCTCGCCAGGCAGAATCCTTGGAGTCCTTGTGGTTCTCGGGCATACCAGGTCCCACTTCCTGCTCCAGCCGCTCCCTCCCCAGCCTGCAAACACATATTAACCTTTTCTAGACCCGCGTAACGGAAGGGGATCTCCACATACAGGCACCCGTCCTTCCGTCCCCTGGCTTCGGGAAGCTTCCACACCTCAGGAAACGCCCCCCCCCAACACATACACACACACACACACACACACACACACACACACACACGGGAACGCGCACCTCCCGCAGCGGCTGCCTGTACCACTGCTGTTCGAATCCCTGCAGCCGGTTTTCCGAGAAATCAGCGCGGAAGCGCCACAGTCCGTCCAGCGCTTTGACCTCCCGCGACGGGCTCTCCCTGGGGAAGAGCATCCCGCCCTGCAGCGCCAGAGCGCAGCTGCACAGCAGCGGGCCCAGCGCCACCCAGCACGCACTCAGCTTTGGGGACATGCTGGGCTGGCGGCCCACCGTCCAGCGCCTGGGCTTTTAGGCTCCCTCTCCCGGAGAGGGCGGGGCCTGGGAGCGTCACATGTTACCCGTGAAGCCGCCAGAGCCAACTTGGTTGAGGGCAAGTCAGTGCCTGTAAGGCTGCCTGGGCAGGGCCATCCAGAGATCCCCCGGACTAGAATCCGCAGAAAGAAAAAACTCTCATAGTCTACCGTTAACCCCGAAGACATGAAGTCCTGGGTCGTCCTCCCACAGGAATGCCAGAGGTCCCTGCCAGTCTCAAAGTCGTTAACATTCTCCCACACCCCCACTCACAGAACTCTCTGGGGCTGTGCCTCCCAGGACAGTTAGGCTAAGGTCTGGGAGAACCCTTGAAGTCCCGGCCCCCACCATTTCTTCTGTGAAAGATCGCAAATGAGGGGTTCAAGAGAGACACTGAGAAGGATTGTTGGGGTTTGGGAATCGATCAAGGCCTGGAAACCGCGCACAGACAACCTCCCGAGTTGGGGGATCTGAAGAGGGCTTAGGTACTAGTGACAGAAATGAGAGACCCTTCGGTCTCTGAGGAAGCGGTGGTTTCACAGCCCAAGCTTGCAGCTAAGCTCTTCTGATGCCCAGCAGGAAGCAGGTAATGGCGTTGTTGTGCCAGGTTCGCGGAACCGTGTGACTAACCCAGGGAAGGAGTCGACACTCTGATGCAAAAGCAAAAGGTTTCTTTTTATTGTTCAAGCTGGCCAGCTTGGATTGCACTCCACGGCTGGGAAATGAGATGCCAACCAGCCCAAACGAGAAGCTTTTAAAGGGGCAGGCCATAAGGTTGAAAGGCACAAATTTTAGAGTTTCCAAAGGTTGAAAGGCACAAATTTTAGAGTTTCCATGGTTACTTAAGGTCATACAAAGTACAGAGGTAAGCAATAACTATATATTTTTAAGCAAGATACATTTGAGTAGGATAAGACAGGGCATAGGACTCCAGAGTCACAGGGTCTGTCAGTTATCCCCTGGGCTGGGGATCTTTACGACCACCAATTAGCAGGCAGGAGTGTTAACCCAAGTGGTAGAGGGTCACCTCCCCTTCTCTGAGAGCAGGGCTCAGGCGCCAGTCACAGCACTCCTGATTTTAGGAGTTAAATTTTCCGTTACCATTAGAAGTTCCCTTTCTCTGTATATATTTAGGGCCCAAGTTTTTAAGCCTTTATTAATTTGAATTATTGGTCCTTCAGGGTTAGGTTGAGAGAATAGGATGTGTGCCTACAGGTGTACACTCACTCACCCGAGTGAGTAACCTGAGGACGTGAAAATCTTAGCTCCTGGAGTGATGGGTGGTTTCCCACCCACTTCTGTAAGCGCTCCCAACTGGCCTTGCCAAGCACAACTAGTTTCCCTGGATGTTGGTGGCACGCGCCTTTAATCCCAGCACTCGGGAGGCAGAGGCAGGCGGATCTCTGTGAGTTCGAGGTCAGCCTGGTCTACAGAGCAAGTTCCAGGACAGCCTCCAAAGCAATACAGAGAAACTTTGTCTGGAAAACCCAAAAAACAAAACAAAAACAAAAACCACAACTAGTTTCTAATTCACTTGTTTACATTTGTGCCTTTGCCTTTTTTGTGCCTGCCTTTGATGTGATGCAGAGGTCAGGGGTCAATCACGATGATGGGGGATGTCATTCTATATACTGTGAATATATGTTTCTCTTATCGATTGATGAATAAAGCTGTTTCGGCCAATGGACAGGCAGGATGTAGCCAGGCAGAATGTATAGGCAGGGCTATCAGACTAGGAGAATTTTGGGAAGAGAAACACAAGAGAGTGGGTGAGTCGCCAGGGAAATACCTTGTAGCTGCTGAAGGAGTAACATACTGGAGTATTACAGGTAAGCCACAGCCTCATGGCAATACATGGGTTAATAGAAATGGGTTACTAAGAGAGAGCTAACCAATAAGAAACCTGAGCCATTGGCCAAACAGCTTATAATTAATATAAGCCTCTGTATGTTCATTTGGGACTAAACAGCTGTGGGACTGGGCAAGAGAGAATCTCCATTTACATCACCTTCTATCTTATTTTCTTTTTCTTTTTTTTAAAGATTTATTTATTACATATATACCAGATTGAATTGTAGATGGTTGTCAGTCACCATGTGGTTGCTGGGAATTGAACTCAAGACCTCTGGAAGAGCAGTCAGTGCTCTTAACCTCTGAGCCATCTCTCCAGCCCTTATTTTATTTTTCTAATTTATTTATTTACTGGGGAGGACTGGAGAGATGATTCAGCCATTAAGAGCCCTGGATGCTCTTCCAGAAGACAGGGGTTTGATCCCAGCATCCACATGGCAGCTCATAACTATTTTTAACTCCAGTTCCAGAGAACCTACTGACCTATTCTAGCCTCAGCAAGTACTGAACCTGTGTGATGCATAGATATACATAATGGAAAAAGAACCATTCACATAAAATAAACTCTAAAAGTAGCAGCAACAACAAAAAAACTACCCTAGAATTGAATGTGGGTGTGACCCAGCTCTCAGGATGTTGATGCAGAAAGACGAGGAGATGAGGAGAGTCAGTCAGCTTGAGCTAGTGAAACTCTGTCTCATATATATATATATATATATGTGTGTGTGTGTGTGTGTGTGTGTGTGTGTGTAATATTAGATATGCATATATATGATGTATGCTTGTTTTGTAGCAGGTTATGAAGTTCCCATGGAGGCCAGACAAGGGCATTGAATTCCCTGAAACTAGGATGACAGACACTTGTGAGTCACCATTGTGGGTGCTGAGAACCGATTCCAGGTCCTTTAGAAAGGGCAGCCAGTGCTCTCAAACACTGAGCCCTTCTGCAGTCCCGTCTGGCTTACTCTATTTTAATATTTCATTTACACGTCATTTATATATTTATCTGCATGTGCACACGCACGTGTGTGCAGGTCAGAAGACAGTTTGCTGAGCCGGCTTTCTCTCTCACCCTGTAGGTCCCAGGGATTGAACTCATGCCATCAGACTTGGTGGCAGACACCTTTATCCACTAAGCCATCTCAGCGGCCCTCTGCCGGTTTAATTATTAAACTATTAAACGCTGCCTCCCCAGCTCAGGGGATTACAGATGCATCATGCCTGGCTTTGTATGTAGGTGCTAGGACTTCAAACTCAGGTTTCTCATGCTTGCCCAGCACCCACCTTACCAACGAGTCATCTCCCTAGTCCAGTCTCCGTATTTAAAGTTATAATATGAGGGCTGTTTTGAAAAATCTTAACCTGCTATCATAACTAAATCTGTATTTTCTCAAACTGGAATCCCAGTTAGCATCATATGAACATTACCCGTGCTTGGCTGAGTTGATTTCATTCTGGGTCTTGCCTTCCCCTCCTCCTGGAACCCTTTCTCCTTGTCCCCAATGAGTAAGCTCTCTTAAACTCAATGCCTCTCTCTTCTCTCCCCTCTTCCCCCAGGCTGACTTTGAACTGCTGGTGATCCTCCTGCCTCAGCTTCCCCAATGCTAAGATTACAGGTGTGCACTCAACTTTGTTAGGACATCTTTATTTTTGTAATCATGTCCTTAGACCTCGGTCACTCTCCAGTTCCTTGTACACACGGTTTCACTGAGGAGTTCTGATCCTTGGCGCGGCTTCTCAGCGTCCCAGAATTCATGTCCTTGCAGGGACTTTCCCACTCCAGGCCTGATCCCTGCACCCTCTTAGACTTTGGTTAACCTTCCCTTGAGGCAATTTCTCGTAACTGTGACCCCAAAAATGAACAAATAATTTAAAGAACAGTAATTGTCTCGTGCACTGATTTCAGGTAGCTCAGTCTGTGGTCACATGACCTGCTCAGTTCAGGACACCCTCTTTTGGAGAGCAGAGGATCCTGACAGGGGAAAGCAGTTCACCTCAGGGCAACCAGGATGTGGAGAAAAAAGGAAAGAGGAAAGGATGGGAACAGCCATCCAGGACATACTCGAGCAACATGCTTCTACCTAGACCGTGCCTCATTATGGTCTGTTCTGCATGAATGCGTGAATAGGCTAAGCCACTGTTCAAGTTAGACCCTCATGTCATGGTCCAGTCATCCTAAAACGCACCAGCTGGGCACATAAGCCTTTGGAAGACAGTTTCTCTTTCTTTCTTTCTTTCTTTCTTTCTTTCTTTCTTTCTTTCTTTCTTTCTTTCTTTCTTTCCCTTCCTTCCTTCCTTCCTTCCTTCCTTTCTTTCTTGAGACAGATTTTTCACTGTGTAGCCCTGGTTGGCCTAGAACTCATAGAAGTCAACCTGCCTCTGCATCCTGAGTGCTGGAATTAATGGTGTGCACAAAACCTCTGGCTGGAGGCCATTTGTATTGTTGTTTTGAGGCAGGTCCTCACATAGCCCAGACTGGGCAGACAGTGGATGGGACCAAAATGACCATGAACTCCTGTTCCTCCCGTTCCCTTGTCTGGAGTGTGCCGATATGCTGGTTTAAGGTATAGACTCAGGTTCAATTACATGGAGGTCACAATTGTCTGTAACTCCATAACTTATAAATTATCTCACAGGGATAGTCCTTTCTCTCTGACAGAAATGATCAATTCATCACACCAACATAACCTGACCTTAAGGCTAATCTGATTAGTTTAGGGACACACAGGTCATACACCATCCATCAGGGCCAAAAGGAAAATACTGGACGAAGTAGGTTTTTGTGAGGCAAAACCATTGGTTGATTTCATGGCACTCCTAACTGTATAAAAAGCTTTGTCAGAGCCAGGCAGTGGTGGCGCACGCCTTTAATCCCAGCACTCGAGAGGCAGTGGCAGGTGGATCTCTGTGAGTTCGAGGCCAGCCTGGTCTACAAGAGCTAGTTCTAGGACAGCCTCCAACGCCACAGAGAAACTCTGTCTCGAAAAACAAAAGTTTTGTCAGTTCAAATCCTTCACAACCAGTAACCTACTTGGAACCTCTACAGAAGATCAAATCAGGTGCCCTCTTGGTAAAGTCTCTGCTGCTGACTCTGGCATCTGGCACGGCTCACAGCGAGGTAGATTCATTTGGTCTGTGCATATGTGTGAGCATCCTCAATA